CGATTCCACCAGACCCCACAGCTGCTACAACCCGTAGATAGGTTCACCTTTTTTCGACGAAACATGCGGAATCCCTCGCTGGCTCGGTCTCATAAAATAAAGGTGCTTAAAAAGCTCATTAATTATCGCGACAACAGCAGTTTACGGGATGGCCTGGTGCTTAATGCAATCATATGCCAAAAGAGTCGGAGGGCTCACCAATCAGTCGAATGGCCTCGAAGGAGCATCACCAATTCGCTCAGGTCGTCCTCTTGTGCCTCTTGTATGCTAATAAACTCTCTCGTTTTTGTCAAGGCGAAGAGCCTTACCAGCTCAGTCCTGGAGCAGTCAATATCCTCTGCTGTGCAATCCATTGACAACGGCAGATTGTGTATGATACTTCCAAACACGGGTCTTATCCTTTCAAACGTTGGTAGGTCTGAAACGATGTAAGCCGGGGGAAGAGCCCCCGGCCTCACAGCTTCCACCTTCTCCTTCATGATAGTGCCCAAATCCGTGATGTCCGAATTCTCGTATGGTTCCGACTCACCAACATAGATACCCAGACGTTCTGAAATGCCCTTATCGGCCAAGTCTCGCAGGCGCGATTGCACAGATTCTTCCAAAGCCAGCATCTGAAACTGTTCCCTGATGGACATGGGCGAGGTGTAACGTACGACATCGGCCCCTACCGCCTTTGAAGCCCTGATAAAAATGTGTGTGCCGCTGCTGGTGTGGATGAGTTTTGAACTCGCTTCCTGCTGTCCAGCCAAATCATACACTTGCATCGACCTCATCTCTTCCCCCGATTTTTGATCTTCCGTGTACTTTTCAAAGAACTGCTTGGTGTAAATGCCTGCGACCATGAAATGCTCCTGTACCTCAAACAGCTCTTGAAACAGAGCCGTGACCAGCGGCGCCTCTTTTTCCCAAACAACGATCGGTAACCTGTCTGTATGGTTAGCGATGGCCAGACCCGACGCCAAGGCGAACAACCTCGGAATTAAACCCCCAACACAATGCATGACCAAAACTCTCGGCGTAGTAAATCTGCTGGCCGTCTGCCTCTTTTCTAAAAGCGCGTAGAGAATTCGATCCTTGTCCGAGCCGTCCAACAGGTCAGTAAAGTCGGACGGCATATCGAACCACTCGTGCAGCATTCTTGACAGTACCTTGCCTTTGGTAGTATCCACGGCACTGTCCATCAGCACGTCGCGAATCGATGGGACTTGCGACCTACCGACAATATCTCTATACTGCACGTTGGCATGAATGCGGGACGGCACAGACGCATTGGGTTCCAACATCGACTCTGGGATGAACGAGAACGACCTCCAGGCCTCTAAGCTATTCCACATTGGGACTTTCTCCCTTAGCTCCAGGTTTACCGCCTCCTCGACCAAATTTTCAACCTGCCTCGATGTCAAGCCCCGCTCCGCCTCACCATCATAGTGATTGTGCAGCAAAGTGCTGTAATCGATATTCAACCTCCTCATGCGATTCTTGTCAAGCCTCTCCAACAAGTCTTTCTGCTCCCCGCCGTAATCCTGGAGTCGCTCATCGTACCCCCCTACCTCTAATAAATCCTTCTTGCCAATAAACAGAGTGCCAGCCAGGTCCTCATCCTCGTTGGCCCTAATCAGCCTCGAATTGCCGGCGTACATAGCCTTTGTCTCAAGTTTGTGTGCTGCAATAAAATCATGGCGGACCTTATGGTCACACTCGACCCTCAAAATGCTTGCGAACTGGGCGACACGAAAGCCCAAATTGAAAGCGCGAGCCGGCTCCCATTTGTACTCGCCGGCCACATGGATGACGCTCAACGGGGTATCGGTGTGCAAGAAGCGGTCAAGCTCGTCGACGAGAAAGCGGAGCGGTGGAGTGGACGACCAGTCGATGAGGACAATCTCGTCCAGTGCGCGGACGCGGCGCCAGGATGGGATGGTGTACCGCAGGGCTTCATGGTGGTTTTGGCAGGCGGCGACCAGCGAGACGCCAGGCCTGCGCACGCCGACGGAGAGGGAGAGGTTGAGGGCGGGCGTGGGGGGGGGAGCGCGGAGGGCGGGGCGGCGGCGGGGCGAACGCAGGGCCTGGCGGCGGTGGTGGCGGATGAGGAAGTAGAGGAGGAGGAGGAGGGCCACGAGCTTGGGAAAGTGGGTGACGAGGAAGGCGCGCTTGCGCACGTAGGCGCGGGTGAAGGGTGGGCGGGGCGCGAGAGCCGAGTATGGATGGCGCGAGAGAGAACGGCGGATGGAAAGGACCATGGTTGCGAAGGATGGGGCGGGGTCTGTCAAGGCATCGGAGCAGGTGGAAGGGAGGGAAAGGGGAGGCAGGACGGGCGTGCGGGGCCACGCAATTGCAGGACGACCATGTCGAAGAGGTGTCGAAGAGGTGAGGGTGAGGGGCTGTCCCCGAGGAGATGAGGAACAGGGTAGGACGGGCGTGCGGGGCCACGTAATTGGGGGACGACCATGTCTGGCAGGTGTCGAACAGGTGTCGAAGAGAAGATGCTCGAGAAGATGAGGAGCAGGGAAGTTGACAAGCCGGGAAGTTGACAAGCCGGGGAAACGAAGGTTTGAGATGTTGACATAACGTACACGTGTCCAAGAAAAAGGGACAGGTGTCCAGTATCTGGGAGGGGAGATAGTGATCACCCAATGGCACGGATGCCCACGTACAACACGTGGCAACTGCATGCACACGTGGCATTAGCATACCGGCTCCTTACAGGCGGAGCATCTCGTCGTGCTCATGGGAGATCAAATGGTCCAAAAGATCCACCGCGTAGCCCACGTGTGGCCGTTCTCAGCCTCGCACATACCCCTTCTCATATCCAGCTCCTCCGATGCCACTAATCCCCTCATCCCTCCTCCGAAGCCCCCCCTGCCCTCCCGCCCTGCGCGCCTCTTGCACCATTTCCCCTTCGCCCCCGCCCTCCTCCCTCTTGAAACGCCTCCCACCCTCCCGCCCAGCGCTCACCCCAACCTGCACCCCAATCTGCACACCATGGCCTTCGTCGACTGCGCCCCCGTCCTCGCACGCGGCCAATTCGCGGGCTCCGCCGTGTCCCCGCTGGCCCCGACCGCGCGCCTGACGCAGGCCGCGCGCCCGTCAAGGAATGCCGTGCGCATGGCCGCCGCGGGCGCCGACGAGATGGTCCCGGACATGGCCAAGCGTAACACCATGAACCTTCTGCTCTTCGGCTCCACCTCGGCCGTGGCGCTCGGCATCCTCGGCCCCTTTGCCTTCTTCTTCGTGCCCCAGTCGAGCGGCGGCGGCGACGGAGGTGTCATCGCAAAGGACGCTCTCGGCACCAACATCCAGAAGAAGGCTTACCTCGACTCGCACAATGGAGGTTCGCGCGAACTCGTCCAGGGCCTTCGCGGAGATGCCACCTATCTCATCGTCACGGAGGATAAGTCCGATATTGAGTATTATGCCCTCAACGCTGTGTGCACGCATCTGGGTTGCGTCGTCCCGTGGAACAAGGCCGAGAATAAGTTCATGTGCCCTTGCCATGGCTCCCAGTACGCGCCCACGGGCGCTGTCGTTCGCGGGCCCGCCCCGTTGCCGCTGGCCTTGGAACGTGTCGAAGAGGACGAAGCCGGCAATGTCGTCCTCAAGAGCTGGAAAGAGGAGGACTTCCGTACTGGCGGCGAACCGTGGTGGAAGTTCTAAGTCGTCTCGCCTAACACTGCGTCTTTGAAAGCTCTAATAGTACTTCGCTACGTCACATCTCTTCTTTCGTACATTCAATTCTTGTCTCGGGTTTTTATTTTGAACAAACGGCCACGGCCCTCATAAACAACAGAGAATCGAAAGCTAAATACACTTGTATCTATCTCCATATGTAGTCCGCCCTAGTTGCCGGGGATCTGTGATGCAATCAGCCTGCTTAAAGTTTTCAGGTTCTTCTCTAGTCCATCGTGCTGGCCCAGAGTCGCCTTGTCTCGGCGAAGTTGGTTCACGTTTTCGGTCAGTTGCTTGAGCGTCTCTACCACGATAGCATCGAACTCCTCAGCTTCTGGTTCTAATACCAGCATCAACTCTCGAAGCCACTCTACCTTCAATTCTACTTCTCCGTCCAACAGACCGTGCCCAAGCTGTTGCGCCAACGAGATCTGTGTATCCTGTGACAGTGTGTGTGTCTCGAAGAAACTTCCTACTTCAAACTTCTTGCAAAGCCATGTTACAAGTGCCAGATCTGCCTTATCTAGTGCCGTTTGGAAGGCGCCATCAATGTTCCCTCGTTGAATTTCTTCTTCGATCGTCTTCTTAATCTCCTCAATTCCGATCTCCGTCACTCCTTGTGCTCCCCCGGATTGCATTTCCCCTATTTGCTTCCGCAGCAGCAGTACGCTTGCTGTTAAGTCCTCTGTCGCCTCGCTCACCCCGCTCAGTACTGGTGTGACCATCGCATCATACTTAGAAGCCATGGACTGAGTTACTGACGACGCAACTTGCCTCTCCATTTCTTGGCAAGCGTTTGTAAACGATGAATTGATGCTTGACTTCTCAAGAGCCTGATCAAAATAGTCTATCGACACTTTGTGGTCCTTCTTCGCGTTCTCCTTCATCGACACTCGCATGTCGGCAATAATTTTGGACATCCCGGGAATCAGCGTTTCAGCCAAAATCTTTTTCATGGAAGAATACACAAACCGTTCGAGGTTGGTCTTCGCAGTTTCTGTTACAGATTCAATAAGACGATCCATTTTCGCCTTGTCAGCAGTGTTTCTCTGCACTGCCCCCTCGTCGAAGGCCGTTAGAGTCTTCTTGGCGGCCTCTAAAATGCTATCCGCAATATCATTCGCATTCACGACTGGTTCGACTGGTGCAACCGGCTCTGGAATGTGCTGAGGGGGTACTGAAGGTATTGGGGGTGGTTGGCTCGGTTTTCCCAAGTCAGGCTTGTTCGTGCTTTCACTTCCTTGAGGAAGCCGTGGTGTGCCCACGGGACTTTGAGGCGTACTCCGAGAGTGTTGCCGCACGCCGTCCACCGAGCTTTGTGTTCCCCCTCCACGAGCAGACCTTTTTTCGAACGATGCGCTCGCTGCCCGTCTAGGAGTTACAGTTTGGCTTGGTGGAAGTCCTTCCCCATAATTGTCTCGGGGTACGGACGAGGACGGTTGTAACACAGTCGGCACTTCTGATTTCGGAATCATTCTATCCGGTTTTCTTATGACCGAACTTTGCATCGACTTCGGATAAACCTCTGGCTCAACCAGAGTCCTGGGACCACAGTCCTTCACGGGCAAATGAATTAATTGGATACCACGTGGTTGAACGCACCACACTCCGAGCTCCTCGACAGGGTCTGAATCCAAGACCTGTCCACCTATCGTATTAGAGGGAGTGCGCTTGTTTCGAGTCATACAGAGAGATAGAATGGCTTGCTTCACGGGGACTTCACTGATCGCATCAAACGCATGAGCCTCAAGGTTGAAATGAAGAACGAAAAATGAGTGTCCCTTCACGTTTGAGAGCATGACAAGCTGCTCATGTGGGTCCACAGATGCCACGGTATACAGGTCTGTCAGGTCATCTCCGAAAAGCCGAATGGATTGACGCAGTTCAATAGATATGGAAACTTCCTTCGCTGCCAAGCCCGCTACAACCCAAACTTCTAGCTCTCTCCCTCCCTCAACAACCAACAACAAAGTATCTTGGTTCAGGGAATAGATCGATGAGATTTTTGAAGTTTTGTCTCGTGGCAACCGTGCAATGCATGACGAAAGGGTGCTGTCTGCATTCCACAGGAAAACCTTGCCGCCTCGGGATGTGACGATCACTCTTTCAGACAGCCAGGCCGCAGAATCCACTGGGGCAGGTTCTTCAATGTCTTTGATGCCATCTAGCTCTTTGTGTGACTTCAAGAACTTGTCTCGAACCATCATCTTGTCGTTCATCTTGACGAGTTCAACGACGCGCACGTCTGCAGAACTTCCATCCAATAAAATCATTGCAACTCCAACCCCATTCTCGGCAATAATTGAGTTTGGCCCTGGTCGGAAAGCTATTCTTCGATAGCAGCGGCCATCGTTAATGTCTGGATGTTCAAACCGAATCGCATCGGCCACTTCAAGGGTTTCTTCATCGCTTTTGGAGCTTCTTACAAGCTTCCAGACATAGACAGAGCCGTCATCAGCTACTGATCCGAGGATAGAGATACCGCCGCCGGAGTTCGGGTCTACTGCTTTCTCTTGAGCGTAAAGAAATTCAACATCAGCGACAGTAGATTGATGCCCCTTCAACAGTGCACGAACAGTGGAGCTTCGGAGAATAGCGCGAATGTGGCCGCCGACAGCATACGTAATAATGTGATCGTTGACTGCGATCTTGCGATCGTGCTTGTCGAGATACTGGGAATTGTACACTGCAATCTGACTGACGCGCAAGTCTCTCTTCGAGACTTCATCTTTGTTTGAGGAAAGGTTGTATTGGAAGTCTGCTGCAATTCTCTTCCCTTGCGGTGCGTCTACAACTACGTGGACGCCAGGCCACCCTGGAGCTCTATCACCTTCTGTGCGGGATGGTCTGGCGAGTGATTGGTTGGAAAGGGTTTGGTCGGAGAGGGAGGTGCTGAGGCGTTCATTGTTAAGGCCATCCTGTGACATTTCAATCGCAAAGTCGCTTCCATGAATACTCGACCCTTCGCCCAAGGTTGCGGCATCGGACGGTGCTGGACCGTCGCCAGAGGCGGATAAGTCATGTGTTGGATCCGAGTCGGCGCCGTTTACATCCTGACCGTCGGAGTGAGTTGTGTCTCCGTTGGTAATGCCGTTGACTGGGTAGTCGTCGTCTTGGTCTCCTGCAATTGGGGTCTCACCGTCGTCCGAGTCATCGGAAAGAAGGCCATAGCGCTCTGCTAGCATGCGGCGCTGAGCTTCGAGACGGGCTTCTTCGGTAAGATAGGCGTTTGGTTTAGTGCCGACCATATTCGCAGTTTTGGAATGTCAGGACTTGGCAAAATGAGTTTGCGAGACAGACGAGAGAAGACAGGGAAGTTGGATGAAAAGAAAGGGCAAGAGAGCTAGAGACAAGATCCGGCAAGTGTGCGGTGAGTAAGGAAAAGGTGGAGGGAGGCGAGGCAGAGGAAACAGTCGGAGTAGGAGATTGGTGGGGACGCGGGAAGAGACGATGCACACATTGATCCACAGGCGCTGTGATGAAAAATGCCAACGAAAGGGGTGGGCGGCGAGGGCAAGGCGAATCGTTGGAAAAGGAAATATTTCCCCATCTGGTCATTAATATTTGTATGTCACAAAATTTGGCAAATCAGCCCCCCTCGAGACGCTTTTTCACAAGCAACGCGTCCCCCATTCTTCCCTTTTTCCTTGTCCATACCGAATACGCGCAGCCCCGTCTCAGTCCAAGCCACCCATTCCACGCCAAGGCATCCCCTCTCACCTTCCAGCTGTCATCTCTGAAGTGTGCCAAACACTTGTATGGGCACTACTTAATCGCCCTTCTCATGGCACTACCCATTTATCTTCTCGCATCGTCAAGCTGACTACTATAGCCTTTTCCCTTATTCATCAATCCTACACATTCCATTCCATGCTTCAAAAAGAATTTTTTCATCGCGCCAAGTGACGCTATTCACCCCCTCCTCACACGACCCAAACGCAGCATCTAAAACAATGTCCATCTCTCCGAAACACCTATTTTATCTCACGTTTGGCAAAAGCGCGGAAACACTGTCCTACTAACTCTGCCCTCTCTCATCCATCATTGGAGCATCCTGCCGCGTGGAGCGCACGATTCGCATCATCTCGCTCAGCGCTATTCACCAGGTGCCTTGCGATGGCTGCCGACCCCTCTCTCTTAACAAATTTTCGAATGATTGACATTCCGCACTCATCCAGAACACGGCACGCTAGTCCCTTCCCACCAATCTTAAACACAGTCCCAACCGTTTTCCGAGCGCAGGTATCCCCAGTCAATATTTTCATATTTTTCTCATCCTTGAGCGCTTCCGTCAGGCCCGTGCTGACCGCCCCACTCGTAGAGCTATTTACGAGCGCACCTAAAACCATAGGAGCAGACCACCGACTCTGAAGGAGACTCACCAGGTCTTTCCTCATTAGATCACAAATAGAAGCTTCAAAAACCACACGTAATTCTTCCCTTCGAACCTTCACATCCTTTTTTGAAAGCTGCCCAAACTTTTCTGTGTCGACCTCGCCCCATACAACACCGTACACGTCAGGATTGAAATATCGTGTATCCCTTCCGAAGAACAAACTCAACACAGGTACCCTTGCGTATTTGTGCTGACACATGGTTTTCACATACCCCATGTCAACTTCCTTTGTCGAAATCTTTGTTGTTTCTTTCGGTTGCTTCCCCTTTTTGTCAGCCTTGGACTTACCGCCACGTGAACTAGATTTGGATGCCATTTCGATCTCAGCCATCTCCGCCGCCATACTCGAGCTCGAAAAAATTTCAGCCGATACCGTCTTCCCAACTAGCCGCGTGTCATCCACCCACTCGAAGAGAGCCAAAATCAAGCGATGACCATATTCATCCTCGAGGAGCTTTCGAATGTGTGTCTTTAGAGCCCGAACAACTTTCTTTCTGTGCTTGGCGTCCAGTATCTTAACGCAGTTGATCGCAACGAAAATGCCAGGCTTACTATGTGCGAAGTGAACCAGCACAGGTCCTAGCAGCACAGCCATTTCCTGAGCCTTCTCCTTCGGGTACGACTCCATTACGACGAGCATGTACTCCTTGAGGGCCGCGTGGATGATTTCAAAACGCAGCAGTTTTTCTTTATCCAAAAGCTGGCTGAGAATGGTGCCTGCAGAATCGACGACGGCGCTTGCAAAAGTTTCTCCGACAACGTCAAGAGAGTGTGCAAATATGGACGCGGGTTGTGGTTGCGGCTTGACAGAAGATTGTGTCTTTTCAGATGCTTCTTTCAAAATGGTGGTGCGAAAGGTGTCTAGGAGTTTGCGTTGCTTCATGTAAAGTAGTTCAAGGACAAGCTCCGTCTTTTCCTTGGCCTTCAACACGGTCTGGAAAGCAAAGTCAAGGACATCAGCGCCATAGGAATTTCGTATCAACTGGGCGACATTACCGCGCAAATAGTTGTCATAGAGAAGTGACTTTTCCTTCTTATCCCCTACGCGCAACATCTTGAAAGCCAAGTGATGGCCGTATCTATCGCAAGCGAGTTTGACAAAAAAGGGCATTTCTCCCTCCATGGCGGGTTTCTTGGAGCCCTCAATAAGCTCCTTCATCACGCTTGTCTTCTGAGCATTGTCCCCATCCGCGAGCATCCACTGGACGATGCGCGAACCATCGTGCCTGAAGACAAATTCCACAATGCGTCCGCTGAGCAATTTCAACAACTCAGCGACGAGCTTGACAGATTTGTCCGAACTCGTCGCTTTTGGTCGCAGCTGCTCCCAGGTCGTTTTCGCCTGTGCCATGACCTCGCGGCGCTCATCGCGACGGTTGGCCTTCTCTGGCTTCTCTTCATAGCGTTTACGCTTCTTAACGACGGGTTCGGCCGACACCGCTGCGCGTTTCTCACCCACTTGATAATCCTGGGTGCCTGCCATCGCTCCACCGTCTTTGCTGTTCTGGCTTGCTTTTTCTCTACCACTTGCAGTGGTAATCCTAGTAGGCCGAGCGGGCAGTGCAGTTACGCCGCCGCCGACACATGATCGGCATAGCCGGTTTTCATTGGCTGTACTTCTTGGACTACAGTAGTTGATTCCATCTCCTTTCGTACGCTGTTCAGTACTGTATAATATTTTTACGCACGTGTACTTGAGCCTTCTATGGTATACGGCGTATACTATACCATAGAAGGCTCAATGCAAAACGTGTACTATACGGAGGGGTCGCGATATAGTGCTACCCTGCGGCAGTGGGCCGAAAACGACACTATATCGAACCAGGCACTATAAGATAATGAGATTTTCGGCTTTTTTGCAGCCACCTCCTTGTGCAAGGAAGGGTCCTTGTGCAAGGAAGTGGCAACAAAAAAGCAGTGATGCAAGCAAGCATCACTGCTCAGAAAGACCGCTCTCAGGACGCCATCACTCACACTTTGCATCTTCACTAAAGACTCAAGTCTAATCAAGCATTTCTGCTATTAGTAGCTGCCGAGCCGTCGCATTGAATTCCTCCTTTTTCGCAGCCATAAATGCTAGCCTACACTTTTGCAGATGTCTAATTGCATCATCAACCCTGCCTTTTTCCGCCATAGTCTCTATTCAAGTTAGCAACTGCATAATATCTTTCCGCGGCGGCAGCGGCTCTCGGGCAGTACGTCCATCCAACTGCCTCTCTGGAGACCCTTCGTTTTTGCATTCAAATTCGTGCCACCCGCAGAAGGGAAGCACTATATCAGAGCTGGCACTAACAAAGAGGGCACCATATCGCGACCCCTCCCTGTACCGTATAGCAGCGGTACTGACCGGATGTGGGCTGCGGTAGAGTTGCGCTGCGATTCTATTCTGGTAACTTACCCTTCAGGGTAAATATCTATTGCAAATTAGAGCAATGGAGGTACCCAATAAAAATTAAGCACTTGGCCAGAAATTTTTGATTAGAGAAGCGAATGCTGTACGGTAAAGTTACGGTCACTCTGGGGAGAGATGCTCGGTGACCGTACATTGTAGATACGGTAGGTACCCCTCAATAGTGCACCCTCGTGCCATCTGTCGAGACAAAGTATCCCAAGCAGAGTAAGGACAGGGTGTCCGAGCATATTGTACGCTCAGACTTACGCGAAAGGTCGTGCGTTTGAGTCAATTACAAAGTGGACAGACTGACAGTAAGTGCAGAACGATATGTGGTACAAGTAGTAGCCCATCTTTGAGAGAGAAAGGCATCTGAATCATCCCGGACTCTGGAACGGGTCTCAGGGCCGTTCCTAACTCGCAGTTCATCACAAATTTTTCTTCTCTCTCTCTCTCCTGAGTTGTAAACGATATGTTTGTCGTAAGCATGAACTGCTAGGCACCGCCTGGTTCGCCACTGAGCACCAAGCACCCTAGGAGCCGCTTCTCTGTAACCCCCGTTGGCACCGACCAGGCGGTAACATCGTGACTTGCAACAGTGACCGAAGAGCACATCACACTCAGGGCCATTCCATTCATCATGATTGGCAATCACGCAATCACGCAATCACGTCAATAAATGGTGCCTGCTCCCTTGTGGTTGGTTGTTTATATTACGTTTCCTAAAAAAGGGTCATGCTCATTAAAGAAATAAACAATCGACTTAAAATTAATCTTGTGCTCCAACTTCCTGTAATGCTCCTTGCAATTCTAAAAGATTTAAACCCCATTCAAATATTCGTACATTTCGAAATGATAATCAACGCGCTGCTTGTGCAACCCAGGGTTGCACATGTGGGAAAGCCAGAAAGCAGGATCTACTCTCTTTGCCGTGCCATCATTACCTCCTTTGAAACCTTTGCGATGGTGGGTAATCACTGTCAGACCCGTTTGACTGCAGCCGGCAACTTCGTTTTTCCAGAGTGCCAAACGTGAAATGGAATGAAGCAAGAAGTGTGTTAACACATGCACATGCAAAGCCGTGGAAACGTGCTTACAGCGACAAGTAGCACACGTTGGAGAAAGGAACGATGCAGAACGACGTTAAATTAATGTCGTGATCGCCTGATTGCGTGATTGCATGATTGCCAATCACGATGAATGGAATGGCCCTCAGTCTCACGAGACTAGCCCAATCTGTCTTCTGAGCGACACCATCAGCTACAGTATACCCGTACATGCCCCCCTTTCTTGAACAGAGCACCCATCACTGGAACAAAAACTTTATTGCAAATTTTATTGTGATTCAGCTTCTACCGGTAAAGGACTCTACTTTTGAGTGAAAAACGTTCAGTGACAATGACGTAAATCGTTCAAAAATGCAAATGGCGCAATTTGACATGCAGAATCCGACTTGGCGCCCTTTTTGCCATCGGAAAACAAACTTTGGTTAAACCTCGGTGCAAATTGGGGCATTAGAGCTCATTCCGCTTCTCCTCACACCACGGCCACCACACCATGACCAAGAAGACCAGTCGCGAGAGGAAAGAAGAGCACTACTTCAACCGAGCCGTCATTGCTATCGATAATGGCGCAACTAGGCGCGAGGCTGCCCGACTTGCCCGGCTCCCTTTGGCGACTTTTCAGTACAGATTCGCACACAGAGGTGAATCAAAAAAAGCACGCACCTACCTATCCCCCGATGACGAGCAAGTCATTGTTGACCTTGTTCTTTCGTACTCTCGCCGCGGCTTCCCCCTCAAACGGACAGACGTCGCAGATGCTGTCCAATTGATGGTGACTTCGTTTTCAGCCGAACGCCAGAATACAATACCTTTTATTGAGGGGCGCCCTGGACGAAAGTTTCTATCACTCTTTTCTAAGCGCCACCGAGAAAAGATCAAATTCGGAAGGGCCTCTACAGAGGAAGAGACTCGCTGGAAAGCAACCAATGCCGAAAATCTGACGACCCATTTTGCAGAATTGGAACGGCTAATTCGTGTGTACAACTTGGACTCTTCGCGCATTGCCAACCTAGACGAAAGTGGTATGACACCAAGCAAAGATTGTGCACAGTCGAATAGAAGAAAGTCCTACAGTGCTCGAGGACAGAAGTCTCTTCAGAGATCACCAGAGTTTAGGAATGTTAAACGAATAACAGTCATGCCCGTGATATTTGCCAATGGGGATGTTGGTCGCCCTTTATTTGTTGTCGAGGGTAAATCTCTAAAGTATCGCACTGTTGAGCTCAATGGGGCACCTGTCATGGAGACGGTTGCCGATTGTCTTCCTCGAGGAAGTGTCATAACCACAAGAGAGGATGTGGCTGGGGTGGACAGCAAAAACTTCCTGCGCTGGGCAAAATATTTTGCGGATGATGTCAAGGACCTCACAGTAAATGGCAGGAAGGTTCTTTTAATTTTGGATGGCTATCGAAGCCATATGGGGTACCGGGTTCTACATACTCTGAAGCAAGCTGGGATTGTGGTATACGCATTGCCTGCGCATACAAGCGGCACAACCCAACCTCTGGATGTTGGGGTTTTCGGTCCATTTAAAGAACACATTCGCAGCTGTGTCGAACAGCTTTCTTCCCCTACAGAATGGAAGAGCTACGACGTGTTTGACTATATGAAGGTAATGCGAGAGGCATATGGCAAGGCGTTCACGCGAGCACATGTGACCTCTGCTTTTAGGAAATCTGGTATATGGCCACTCAATGCTGGTGCCCTCATCGACGTGCCCCGTCCGCAGTGTTCTATCAATAACACATCTTTGGCGACAGTCTCGGAAATGAAGGAAATGCTAGAAAAGAAACGCTTGGTGTACAAGGATAGTTTAGGCGTACAACCGCGCGTGCTACAATGCGGTTATGTTGACACATCGGCTGGGTTGACCCTGACAACGGATGTCGCAATGGATTTGGCAAGGTGTAAGGACGCTATGGGAAGAGCTAGGGGGGCAGTAAGGCAGGAGAGGGAGGCCGATGTAGCGCAACGTGCAGCTGAGGCTGTGGAGCGGACTAGAGCACAGCGCTTAACGCTACGGGAGAAAGCGCTTGCTTTCCGTGTGCACCATTATAAGGATGCGACCATTTATCCAAGGTCTCTGTTGGTACGTCGCCAGATTGCGAAGAAGAGAACTTCCGCTCGGCGTGCCGCAATCTTCAAGAAGGCAGCACAGGAGGTTGCACCGTCCCCGAATAGCAATTAGAATTAAAAATTGCAATGTCGAAATGCATCAGCCAGTGAAATGTCCGTGCAAATAATGGGTGCTTTTTCTGTGGTTGCAACCTCTCCGATACCCGGACCGAAAGACGCCGTTCATGCCGATGTATGAGCCTTTTGGCTCCTGAGATCAGAAAAGCAGGTACGTGGAGACTGTCAGTTTTCCAAACAGTCAAAAAATTTTCTCCGATGCCGCTTGCTTCTTGTTTTTACATTTATTTTTCTAATCATGTTCAACTTAGGGGGTACCCCACTAGTAGATACGCACTACTGACAGCGAACTAATAAAGGTCCATCCACAGGTCACAGCCCACCGGCCACAAAATGCTCCGATATGAGCATTTGACGTCGCTTCTTGCGCGCTTGTTGATGATAGGTCAGTGGTCACGGTGGTCGCCATCGGTGGACCACCGGGGTGTCCGGTCGTGGTCGTCAACCGCAGCACAGCGGTGTGCATCTACATCAGCATGGCTCCACGTGCACAGGTGTACACGTGGCAAGAGTTGTGACATCCCTGAAAGGGGTGCACTTTTGGCCATGTGCACTATTGTAAAGCGAACTATTGGGGAGACCCCCCCTGTACAGTATTCGCTTCTCTAATCTGTTCACAGATTGAGGAAGATTCCTCACATGAGGAACGCTCTGCCCTTAGGCTTACAGCCAAAGGGTACAGTAATCGTTCGATTAACCATATCCCGTATTTGATCCCATAGACGTCAAGAAACAATGCAGTGACAACCAGCTACACGCTTCATGATGACAAATGCGGTTGACATCAATCGCGTTTGTTCGCCCGCATCTCACGCCAATCCCCCTTGAACCATTGGTCCTCTCATCCCACTTGCTGCCCTACTCCAATATCTACAAGTAGTAGAATGCACATCTCAGTCATTCCCGACTTCTCCCCCATTCCATAACAATTGCGCCAACCTATCATTACTTCTTCGAATGTTACACTCTCCAACCAACTCAAGACACCCTCGACACACTCACTATGCCGATACCCTCACAATACAATCAAGCCACCTTCGACGACACCTTCAAAATCCGCCCCATCCGCATGCACGCCCCGGCCGAAAAGGCTGCCGTCGTCTCTCTCATCAACCGCTGTTACCGGGGCCCGGACAACTGGACCAACGAAAGCGCGCTCGTCAAGGGCCTGCGCATCCACACCGAAGCCCTCGAAGCCTCCCTACGCACGTTTGAAATCCTCGTCGTTGAGCACCGCCTGCGAGAGGAGGTCATCGCATGCGTCAGGACGGGAATCACGTACAAGACAATGGGGAAGACTTTGGCCGAGCCGGCGGGCTATCTCGGCCTCTTCGCCGTCCTCCCAGAGTTCCAGAGCAGGGGAGTCGGGTCGAGGCTTATGAAGGCCGCAGAGACCTATTGCGCAAGTAAGGGCGTGTCCAAAATGGTAAGTATTTTTCGCTCAATTGGCAAACGAAGGGCAGCAACCGTACTAAACATCCTTCTTGTTTTGCACAACGGATACAGTGCATTGATGTGTTACATGTGCGACAGGATATTATCGAATGGTATAATCGATGCGGTTATCGTAGAGTTGGCGGTTCCGTCGATGCGGGTCCGCTCATTGAAGAGGGCGGCGAGACTCTCTTGGTCCCGTGCTCTTTCATTCTCATGCAAAAGAGCTTCACACCTGAGAGAAACGCACACCCCTCAGCCACGGTTTTGAAAACAGACGAATGTATCAACAGCAACAGCGCAGACGAGAAATGTGCACAGGGCACGGGCATGGATGATGCATTGGAGGTCTAACGACCGCTCATTATTTTTTATTTCTCTTAAACTCACTCCTGCCGAAGGGGAGGTACTGGCATGAGTCACTCTTCTTTATTCAACTTAGGAGCTTCATGCATCATTTTCGTCACAGCTATCTGTCTCTTCCTCCCAGTAGCCGTTGTAACTATCATCCGCAAAGCAAACAACCTCGTTCGACGGCGTTGTAATGCTGTGTCCAGAGTCCGAATAACCAGAAACCGCACTAAATCTCCTAGAAAGCCTTGCTCCGTCCTTTTCAATCCCTGAGCGCGCTGACATGTTTTCTATCCTCGATGTACCCGACTCAGCCCCGCCCAAAGCTTGATGTGCTGTGAGTATCTCTTTCCTGCGATTGAAAATCCCCAAGGTGATACCAACTTCCGAACATGCAGCAAATTCCTCACGCTTGCTGAACTTCATCTCCGTGTATAGGTAAGAGCATGACGTTTGATGCCACTCCAAGGTTTCCCGACATAGCAGCTCCTCAAAAACGCATCGAAAAAATCCTAGAAGGACTTGATTTCCCCAGCGAACTCCATAGATCTCTATCCGGATCGGGTTCCTAGGATTGAATGCAGTCAATTCATTTCTGTCAAGACAAAAACGAGGAAAAGCAGCAGAAGAGCTCGTCCATGCTGGCCTCTGCAGACGCTTCGAGGTAAAGATTCTACTCCATCGTCCTTTTTGCGCAGTTCTTGAAACTGCCAATATGATGCTCGATTCCATGACCCTCTTCCATAAACTGCTGTGCGCTCGAACAGAGAACGCAACCGTTTGCGTTGTCACAGGATACTCCATGGACCTACCCATCACGATGTTAACCGAAATCAGCCCTCCTCCGGGGTCACTCTTTCCGAACATTGTCGAAACGTATGGGTCCATGGACGTTTCGAAAACTCGATCCCAAAGCAATTGTGCAAGTGTAAATTCTGCGGTTGTATAAACGTTTGAGTTCACTATTACTTCAACTCGAAAGACTGAGGAGCTAGCGTAGGCTTGCGAGTTATACATAAGCAACGGAGAAAATCGGGCTTGCTTTGTGAAATATGGGCTACTCACCCCAGAAATGGTTTCTGTCCTTAGAATTTCTGTGAACTCCACAGCGTTCAGTTGATTGAACATGAGCTTTGCAGAAAGTGTAGTTGTCCTCCACGCAGTGGGAGCTACCCATTTGTAACCTGCAATGCCAATGTTAAAGAAACTGTTCTGGAAGACCTCTGGCACTTCTCCTTCATGACCTTCTTTCTGTTTCTTTTTGTTCTCATCTTGAGTAAAGAAGGTTATCACCTGCGTACAATCAATGTCAAGACCACGAAAACAGCCGCATTAGTAAAGAGAGTATGTCGCCAAAGGCTCAAGAAGCAGACACAGGCACGTTGGAAACCAGTGTTGAGCCGCAATTTCGGCTGAGATTTTAAAAGAGATATGACATTGACTTTCCTTGTGGTTCAAATCCATGCTTCTGTTGTGCTTTGTTCCGCTGGATGGCCAAGGGAGTGGATATATCCTGATCCTTAGTGAAATGTTTGACTAGGTCAAGCCATCTATGTACTGGGTCAACTGTTGTTCACAGCAATGGAAGCCTGAAATGTGCCAAGGCATCTTGAGGTCCTAACATACACTTTTTCCGCGTGCATGCTCCATCCAACGTGCTCTTTGGCGCATTAAGCTAAGAAGAAAACCGTTTAAATGTATAAATGTATTTGTTTCAAGAGTAACACAAGCCTTTTTGGAGTTCGATTTTGTCAGCTTGTATCATGAAGCTTTTATTTCCAAAACTTTCGTTACATATCACATATACATCTGCCTCAACGTTGTCGTGTTCACTGTCAGTACGGCGGCGCATTGAGGCTGCTGCTGATGGCAACTCAGACATACTGTAGGACTGCAAGATGCTTTTGGACATCGAGATATATCTTTCGGCCCTGGCCATTTTCTAGCCCTGTGGACGTCAGTAGCAATTCCGCATTGCTTTCCACTAAAGAGCTGGACAACCGATGCAGACTGTATGAGGTGCCTCTGTGCCTGTACCACAATGATTTAGTACATGTGACGTGCCCGTGCCCGCAACGGCCACATACTCATTACAACGCAATTCTGTTAATGCCAATCTAGTGGGGTGACTGATACATATATACAATTTACAGAATGGTCACTATTCACAATACGTTCGCTTCTCGGTGAAGCTTGTCTACAAGCTCATCTACGTCGTTGACGAAGACTCCTTGTGCTCGTTTCGGAGGTTCGGACACGTGTAAGATTTCTATTCTAGGCGCAACGTCGATGTCTAGACTTGACACATCTGTAGTTTCGATCTTCTTCTTCTTCGCCTTCATCATATTCGGCAGTGTGGCGAACCGCGGTTCGTTTAATCGCAAATCACATGTAACGACTGCTGGAAGTCCTAATGCGACGGTCTCGAGCCCACCGTCGACTTCCCTGGTCACATTCAGGGAATTCTCTGCGGGATCGACTTCAACCTGGCTAGCAAATGTTCCCTGATCAAAATAAAACGGCATCCAGCATGCAGAAAAGAATCAGTTAGAAAAGGCTGGGTCAGGCAAAGCGACATTGTCGAGCGCGTGGTTCGAAGCTGGTCGATTGGCAGCAGTCAGAGTCTGATTAATGTAGTCCAATTGAATCACGGTGTTGGCACGAGGGTTTAGTTCGGCACTTTCATAAGACCGTCGTGAATGGTGGAAGCTTGTCTTCATCCTGCTGCCAAGCACCCGATATAAGCTATGAAATGCAATAGAACAAACCTGCGGCCAACCAAGCATCCCAGCGAGCATCTGACCAGTCTGATTATTATCCCCATCGATCGACTGCTTCCCCAGGATTACGACATCTGGTTTCTCCTTCTCGACAATGGTCTTCAAAATGGAGGCGACGGCTAAAGGCTGGAGCTCGGCGTCCCCATTTGGGACAGCAATGTGGAGCCCTCTATCTGCGCCCATGCCTAATGCGACGCGAACCGTTTCCGCAGCTTTCTTCGGGCCGATGGTGACGGCGATGACTTCGCCTGCATGCTTTGCTTCACGAAGGCGCAAAGCTTCCTCTACGGCGATCTCGCAAAACGGATTCATTGACATTTTGACGTTGTTGAGATCCACCCCGGAGCCATCCTTCTTGACGCGGACCTTGACCGCGTAATCAACAACACGCTTCACACCGACAAGTATCTTGCGGGAAGACATCGCTCGTTGCGGTGGAGGAGGTGATCTGCGAAGCAAATCCACCTACCTCTTCATTCCTGCGACGGGGGTGGGGGGGAGGAGGGGGCAGACGGATCCCGCTTTAATAGATCTACGGGGTCCAGAGTCCAGTGCTCAGTCGTCACAATCCGTGGTGAGCCAATAGAGACAATGTTTAGTCTCCAAAAAGTTGATCTCATTTCGATTGAGATTGGATCAAATATGGGTGATCCGATCGACAACCTCCTGCGCCTGCGTAGATGGGGCTTGGTAGATTCGAATTGCACAGGAGCTCTTGAGCTCTTTGCGATGCCGAGCCACACATACCGTACTACACAAATAGTGTAGAAATCCGTGATTTAACATTCCCAGTTAAACGCAGCGCTCACTCCGCCGCTTGGTCACCTCGCACACCGCATCACTGAAGCTATCTTATTCACTGAAGGCTGTGTGATATGGCGACAACGGCATACTCCTCCGCAGGCTTTTTGCCGCCAGCCCCTCTCATCACGCCACCCAGACCATCAATCGCATCTCGTCCTTCCCCGGCCCGCATGCAACATGTCTCCAAGCGCCCGGCCCGCCGTCCCATCTCCCGCCGCGCCTCTCTTCAACTAGCAGCGGCGGCGCTGGCGCTACAAACTCTACGGCCCACATCCGCGCGAGTGCGAGTCGCCGACGCGGACGCCGGGTCCAAAGTGGTCACGACGGAATCCGGACTGAGCTACTATGACTTCATCACGGCCGACGGGGATGCTCGCCCCGTGACGGAGGGCACTCGCGTGAGCGTACACTACACGCTGGGCACGACGGGCGCGCGGAACGGGTGGAAGATTGACAGCTCGTACGACAGAGACCCGCTCACGTTTACTGTGGGGAGGGGGGAAGTCGTGCAGGGTTTGGATGAAGGCGTACTAGGAATGGGAAAGGGCGGGAAGAGACGCGTCGTGATTCCCAGCAAATTGGGGTATCGAACAAAAGATGACCGGCCAGTGGTCATGGGTTTTGCGGAGTATCAGCGGTTTAAGAATATTTACCTCAACCCGGATAGACCGTATAAGCCGGACTTGGTCATAGATGTCACTGTCGTCAAGGTGCGATGAAGGGCACCAACAGTGATCCTCGCTCTCGAGGATCAGGATGAAGTAGAGAGGACTTGTGGTCTGTTCGCTGGGGCGCGAGCGATTCTGCGAAGGTATACTCGCGGCGCATTTCAATTCCATCCTTGTCCCAAGCTTATTTTTTTAAAACATGCGCTTGCGCAATGGCATTCTGCGCAGTGATCTCGCCAGGAGCAAAACAAGTTGCACAAAGTTGACAAGGATACGCCCCAGAGTTTCGACGTTTGTTTCCGCAGTCAGAAGCGAACGGAAGCCCTCCACCTCCCTCTTCTTTTCTCTGCATGCGCCTTCACATACACGTGGTACAGTTGTGTCCAAGAAATCACTTCAAATTTCGGAATTTCAATGGTGCTCGCAACGATGCAATCAGATTTCCATTCCTCCCTTTCTACGAGACCCTTCTCACTTACCCTACCCCTCACAGCCTTCTCTGCTTCAAGCTTCGCTCCGTCCGCTGGAGCAGCTGCAGCCTCGCCGGCGACCTCCCAGGCCCATTCCCACCCCTCTCGCCCCCCACATGCCTGACCCTACCTCTACGAAGCTCCTCCTCCCCTGGATCGTTTCTATCCTTCCTGCCATACCGCGATGAGCAGCTACCAAGTGGATGCCGACGACCTCTTCGACACCGCCTCGAGCGGCTCTGACGACAACGTCCCCTCCGCCATCCACCCTCCATCGCCTAAACGAGCCAGGCCTACATCCTCTTTCTCAACTCCTTCCAAAGCCGCCTTTGCTCCAGCCCCCCGCACCTCCTCCTTTCCCACGTTCAACGCCACCGCTTCATTCCGCGCGACCCCTGCCTCGCACACCAAGTCCTCCTTCCCGTCTTTTTCCGCCTCTCGCGCAACTGCTCCAATCCACCCTGATTCTCGTCTCGGTAACCGCCCGGGTGCTGCCCACGGCCGCAACTTCACCCCACGTCCCGCATTCGGGGGCAGAGGTAACGCGCCTCGCCGCCAAGAGCCCCGCTCCTTTGCGCCGCGCGACGATGCCACGCGTGCGCATAGTTCAGCCTTGGGACCCATGGGTCGGGGACGTGGAGCCACCCTCCCAGCCCATGTCACTGGCTCTCGCACCAATCACGTCGCCCCGGGGCGACCGGCACCCGCTGTCACACCTGGCCTTGCCGATGAGGAGGCCATCAAGGAAGCAGCCGCCATTTTGCCCGAGCATATGAGGGCGCGATACATCGAGGACGAGCGTAAAAAAGCCGCAGCCGCGAATAGGGTTGAGAGAAAACGGCCGGGACGGAGACGAAAGGACACTCGTGCGCAACAAGGGCCTCTGGGAGAGCTTAGAAAGAGGCGCGCTGCTTCGGGAACTGCTAATGGTCTGAAGAGTAAGCCGGCATTTAGTCTCGGTTCTTTGATCAAGGCTGCGAGCAAACAGGAAACTAGCCTCACCAGACGTGAGCCGAGCCGCCTAAAGAGCGCTGCGAAAATGAAAAGAGCAGAAGCTTTGAGTGTTTACACAGCGGTTTCGAGGACAAAGGAGAGCGTGGAAAGGGAGGAACGATTGCGGCGGGAACAGGAGATGAGACTACAGGAAGAGGAGAGGCAAGAGAGGGAGTTTTATGAAGACCTTAGGGTGCGGGATCGTGAATACAGAAAGCAGCAAGCAGATGCGTGGAGAAAGGAAAAGACTGTAGCGAGCAAGATGAGGGACTCCCACTATGTCGCTTGGCTCGAGAAACATCTCTTCTCGGGTGAGGACAAGGTTAAGGAGGATAGTCTTGAGTACCTGGGGCTGCGATTGCGGCCGGTCACAGACGACGAGCAAGTATCGCGACTACTAACTATAGAAGTTACAGAGATATAGACGGCCTTGTACGCCAAAGTTAGGTTGCCATCGATTATGGCGCGGCTGAGTAGGCATCTCTTCAGAGTGTACTCTCGAAGTAACGAAAGCATGCGGTACGGTCGCGATTATCCATCGCTTCTAAGAACATAGAAATAAGAGTTTTAACTTCTTGCTCTTGTCCCGTTCTGGACAAAGACAGCGCTCATATTGTGGTTGCCGTGCAGAAAATCTGCAGGTGTCGCTAATTTGATCGACTTCGGAGCACAGCATACACATGAAAAAACACCGGAAACGCATGGTTGGAGAGTTGGCTTGTACAGCAGCTTCTCACTGCCACTGCGCCATATACATATGTATTACAGATTTGTACACAAACGGAAGGGTATTCGTCACTACAGTAGTACGCGATAGTATGATTGCACCAGTCGTACTTTGTGTGCTTCCCGTAGGAAGACAGGATCCAAGAACCAAAACATTTTGCACGACTCGACTTGCGTAAAAACTTCCGATCGCTTTTTTTTTAAGCATCTTGCGTGCGAACACTCTCACACGCCAATCTCACTCTTCGCTTTGAATGTCAACATCGTCTTGTTCTTCAGTGCCGGTAGGAGAACGTAATCATTGCCAATGGCAGTCCTCGCGACACCACTTTTTGGACCAGTCGTAACGACAAACACAGACGGAGCGGGCCTCTTCCTCTTCATCTTTGCGTTGAGAGCATCCAAAGGTTCCTTCTCCTCAATGGCCTTCAATGTCGATATAATATTGCCAGCAACAACCTTTTTGTTATTGAAGGCATTTGGCGCTGTGTTTGTTAACGCAGTGCAACAATCACCGACCGCAAAGATCTTTCCATCACTGGCGTGGACCCTGAAATAGTCATCGACTTTAACCCAACCTGCCTCGTCGAGGCAAGCAGCCAATAGACCCTGTTTAAAGAATGCAGTGGACGGCTGAATTCCAACTGCTTCAAGCACTCTCTCTGCTTCGAGCCTCTCGCCCGACTTTCCCAACGTCCATGCACCGTTCTCTTCCACCGCACGTTCGTTCAACACAACCCGTACGCCAAGTTTCTCCAGCTTTGTCTTCACCTTAGCTGCCCCGGCCGGATTCAGTTCCGGTACGAGATGTTCGCCAGCATGCACCAAAGTAATTGCAACGTTTTTGTCCTGTTGCTTCGCGTACGCGGCAAGATCGCCTGCCAGTTCTGTACCGATAGCCCCACCACCGATAATGAGGACGCTAGACGCTTCTAGCAACTGTTTCCCTTCCCGTACATGCATCTCTCTCCTCTCCGATAGCGTACCCTCTCCTACAAGCTCTCTCCCAAGCGCCGGGATCTTTGTCCGAGCTCCTGTCGCGACGAGACAAACATCAAAGGGAATAGTCTCTCCCGTCGCCAATTTCGCGGATACCAAGGAGAGGGAGAGAATAGTAGAGCGAACGTGTGTAACGCCATGCTTCGTTGCCCATGCAGCAAGATCCATAAGATTAGCGTCTGCGACGGCGCGATCAAACAGGGCGCGGATGGCGGCCCATGGGATCTCAATATAGGCTTTGGGCTCTGCAAGGGTAATGTGAAGATCCGGCATGGACTTCCGCAGGACGACTGCGGCACTCAGGCCGGCCATGCCGCCGCCGATGACAAGGACGTGCATCACAGAGGTCCAACGTTGATAGCCTAGAAGGAATTTGGTGGATGGACAGACTGTGCCACGAGTTTATGACGGGAAGCAGCGGACGCAGTGGTCAAGGCGTGGAGGTTGTAGATGTGCTGTATCCTGGAGCAACATGGCTGGCTACATCGGATTTCGGACAACGTAAATTTATTGTCACGGGGGAAGAAGAGTGGAGATCGGCGTAAGAAGGATCGGACGCGATGAAGCGGTGCTAAGCCACGTTGCACACTGGCACGGGGGCTTGAGATACAGTTGACGTCACGTCAAACGAAAGAAGCAAACCATGGAGCAACCGACTGTAAAACTTTATTGAAATGCAGGCCTTACAGCCAATAAGACGTTTATATTCGTTCACAGGAGATCGAGGGTTCGATGCTCCCGCAATAAAGTTTGAGATAATTGTGAGATATTTTTAGGGAAAAATTGCATTTTACTGTAGAGGGAGATTTTCTACTGTAGTCCGAGATTTTATTTGAATTTTAGAGAAGCGCACGCGGACGGCCCGGCGGAATCCGGGCCGGACGCGTGGACGCTTCCGGAAGGAATTACGTAGAAATAAAAGAGAGGTGGTGATGGGCGCTGCGGGAAAAAGGGGGGACACCACTCGGCGGACCCTCACGACGGAACGGCACGCTCCCCAAACCGCCTCCCCCATTTCACCACCAACATGGTACTGTTGTGGAGGGCCGACGCAGACACAAGTGCGGGCCCTAACCCTTTTACTTACGATGGGTCGAACGGGTCAGATTTTTCCAAGTTTCTGTTCGTCTACGAGAACATCATCATGCGCGGCAAGCCTGACGAGGAGAAGGCAGGAGCTATCTTATGCCACCTCGAGGGTGCCGCGTTCTACTATAACTATGACACGTATAGTCATAATAGGAGTCTGACCGAGGCCGCCAGTAGCTGGGACGGTGTGAAGAACGCCCTGTCTGACCATTCTGTGGAGATACGGAGGCCAGAAGAAAACATCCAGAAGGCTATGAGTTGCCGACTGGATGGTAGGAACTTGCTTACTTCGATGGATGAAATGGACAAGCTCTACAGGAGGGCTGGTTTCAACGACGGGGCAAAGTACGGCTTTCTTCGCAATGCCGTAATGGCACATTTGTATGTTGCTCAGTTCGCGATCTATCGTTCTCCGACGACGTACGAAGAACTGATGAACGTGAAGGACTTTGCTGCAGGCCGTGACGCCTTTAAGGCGGCGAAAACTGCTGCGCAGTCCGTTGAACCTGTGACGCCCAAGCGTGTATTGATGCATTCTGATGTGGATCCTCGACAGGTCAAGCTGGAGAACAAGGAAGATGCTATCAATAGCCGGCTGGTGGAACTGTCACTGATGATGAACAAACGACAGACGCCAGGGGACAGTGATACGAATTGGACATGTTCCTATTGCAAGGAACCAGGGCATTCAGCGACTCGTTGTCGTTCCAACCCACACCGTGGTACTCATTGCCCGACGTGTAGGAAGATTGGACACACAACGGAGACTTGCTGGTCCCGCTTTGCGAGAAAGAATGTGGCTCATGCACGTCCTCAAGGTAACGCTGACGCAGGAAGCGCTTATGGCCCCAAAGCAGGCGGTTCTGCCAACGCCAGCGAAAAGGCCACCACAGACTCGAAGCAGGTCACGGTCATAACTGAGATCACCAAGGGAAAATTGGTGGCAGCCACGAAACGCAACGCCGAAAGAGAGGCCTTGCCGAAGCAGTCGAAGAACGGTGAGGAAGTTTTGATCCGGAGGCTGCTGAATCCCACTCCAGTAGCTCCTATGGGAACTCTCCCCTGGAATGAACCGCTAAGAGGGCCGAGAGTGAAGCCTACACGCCAGAAGAAGAATGTTTCAAAGAAGGCTGCACTCCAGGAGCACGTCGGCAAGTACAACGTCGTGTCAGAGCTGGCGAATGAGTCGTCTGATCTAACATTTGGACAACTTGTCCCTGGAGACGCTGAAGGAGCAAGGAAGGAGATGAAGCGCATTCTATCCAGGAGATTGGGGCGTTCTCGCGGGTTTGCGGGCCACACGGATGTCTTCCCGAGGCGTCTTCGGGTGGTTACTGTTCAAGTTTATGGAACTGATGCTGAAGCACTATTGGATTCGGGTGCGGTGCCGAACATCATGTCGCCGCACCTCATGAAGAGACTTTCTCTGACGCCAGAGAGTACGAAGAAACACATCACTGTGGCAGATGGGACGAGCTCCCCTTGTGTTGGATCACTGCGCCAGGTCCCGGTCTCGTTTGGGGGACTGGTGAGCATGATGGACTTCCTTGTCGTTACGGTAACACCGTACGACGTCATCGTGGGGATGCCGTCGTTAGAGGAGCTCCAAACGTGCATTGACTTGGGGCAACAGCATGTCCAAGTAACTGTGGGTGCTGAGACGATTCGACTAAGTCTTGAGATGGATGAAGACCGTAAGAAGCCGGGATCCGCTACCGACAGTGAGGACTTCACGTCAGACTCGGGGGTCGTGCCGGCTGACTTGACTGATACGGATGAAGACTTCGTCCTTTCGCTCCGTGAAAGGGTGCCGTTTGAACCAGACCTTGCTTGAGCGGGAGCAGTCACTGAGGACGAAGATCCTCATGCTGGACTTCCGGACCTAGCTGAGGAAGGCTCACAGTACGAGCCGGCAGATGAGAAAGAGAAAAGAGATGAGAGGGAGGGACTTCTCATGTCTAAGCTGAGCCATATCAGCAGAGAGAACGCCGACCGCATAATGTGTTCTATTGAGAGTATGGGAATAGCCGCATGGTCTTTGGACGACCTCAGGCCGGCAGGTGTCCCTGTGTCACATTCGTTTGAGTTAACTGACGACACACCCATTTCGCACGCCGTTCGGAGGGTCCCTCCGAGACACAACGCGGTAGTGCGTGAGGCGATCGAGAAGATGCAGAAAGCAGGGATCATTACCCCCTCTGTAGTTCCTTGGTCATTTCCGGTCGTCATCGCAACGAAGAAGGACGGGAAACCCCGCTCTGTGTTGACTACCGCGCGCTTAACCGGGTGATGAAGGCCAACAAGTGGCCGTTGCCTAAAATGGAAGAGATATTCGACGACCTTGAAGGAAGCAAATTATTCACTACCCTGGACTTGTTCTCGGGTTATTGGCAAGTGCGTATGGCTTCGTGGTGCAAAGAACAGACGACGTCTGTCTGTCGGTACGGGACCTTTCAATTTGAAGTGATGCCATTCGTCGGGCTCATGAACGCTCCTTCAACATTTCAAAGGATGATGGATGGCGTATTCAGAGACCTGCCATTCGTCCGAGTATACCTGGATGACGTGGTCATCTTTTCGAAGTCCTTGGACGTCCATGTTGACCACTTAATTGAAGTGTTCGAGCTGGTTGCTCGCAGTGGATTGAAGTTGAAGCTTGCGAAGTGTTCCTTAGCGCAATCACAGACCAGGCTATTGGGGCACGTCATCGGAAAGAAAGGGATTGAGGTGGATCCCGAGAAGACATCGATCATTTGGGACACCCCCGAGCCGCGCACCAACACAGATTTACGAAGCTTCCTTGGGCTAGCGCGGTATTACCGCCGATTTATCCCTAAGTTCGCAGAAGTCTCTGCATCGTTGCATGCTGCTACTTCTACCAAAGTCGAATTTGAATGTACGGAAGAGATGCAGACCGCCTTCCAGGAGTTGAAGAAGAGGGTGACGTCTCCTCCGCTGTTGGCGCCCCGGAAGTTTGACGAACCCTTCGTGGTCGAGACAGATGCATCTAATGTGGCAGTGGGAGCAGTCCTGGCTCAGAAGAAGGAAGACAAGAAGGTTCACCCGATACAATACGCCAGCAGGACGATGACGGAGACTAAGAAGAAGTACTCCACCTGTGAGAAAGAAGCATTAGCGGTGATCTTCGCGCTAAAGAAAGTTCGGGTGTATTTGCTCTCAACGCAAAAGTTCAAGTTGATTACGGATCACCAAGCGCTTCAGTATGCGTTCAAAAAGAAGGACATCCACGGTAGACTTGCCCGTTGGTTGGATTTCCTGGCGGAGTACGAATTCGAGATATTGTACCGCCCCGGCTCAAAGAATTGTGACGCTGACTTTCTCTCGCGTCTACGAGAAGACGATGGCAGGCGCGAGGAGGATGAGGGGGACCTGGTATGTGCTGCCGCTTTTGCGAAAGGAGATATACTGGAAGACATGAAACCTCATTTGCGGGAAACGTACCGTTATCTCGAAGGCGACGAGATGGTCGAGCAAGATGCTGCGCAGAGGCGCAGAATCAAGAAGAACTCCAGGAGGTTCCTTGCCTGGAACGGAAGGCTGTTTTGCAGGACGAAGAATGGGATCAGAACAATCCCTTCTCGGGGGACTCGACTGCAGATATTGCGGTCGCTGCATGACGACATTGGCCACTGGGACGCTACAGCTACGAATCAGTTCGTCCTTGACAGATATTAGTGGCCGGGAGTTCATGGTGATATCTACGCCTACGTTCGTGGATGTGAAGGCTGCCAAAAGGCTGGGCCCATCGCGACGTACGAGAGCACGGCGGTGATACCAGTCTCTCAGCTCTTTGAGACATTCTCGATAGACTTTGCGGGACCCCTTCCCAAGACGAAGAACGGAAAACGTTACATCCTGATATCAGTCGAACATCTGACTGGTTGGCCCCTGGCTTGGGCAACCGAGACCGCTACGTCTGCGGAAGTTGTCAAGTTCGTGAAGGAGGAGATCATCCATTCGTTTGGTCCCCCTCGGACTATAGTCTCAGATAACGCAACATGTTTCAGCGCGACAGCGTTGAAGAACTTCATGGTACAACAGGTAATTTCATGGAAACCGGTCCTCGCCTATGCTCCCATGTCGAACGGAAAAGCGGAGCGTATGGTTGGGACCATCAAGCGTTCAATTCGGAAGACGCTATTAGGTCAGGGCGCCGCCACCTCTAAATGGGAATCGGAGTTGAAACAGATTCTCTACGGGTACCGTCGGCGCCGACTGTCCCACGGGTTCTCCCCGTTCGAGTTGATGTATGGAGTGAAGCCGCCCTCGCAACCCCAGACCGAGTCGAACCGAATCCGGTGGGGGGGCGTTGAGGGGCGCAACTTAGACCTGTTAGCGAGCCTCGCGCTCCGAGCGACGAGGACTGCTAAACAGTTGGACAGAAAGAGCAAGAAGATGGCAGTTATCTCACAACGCCAATTTGACGTAGGCGACCAGGTTGTGGTTGCCCGAGGAACAGCCTTGGGAGGGCTACGGAAGTGGGCTTTAGGAGAATCGAAGTACTACGGCCCCTGCCGGGTAGTACGGGCAAAGCACCCGCGGTACACACTCGTGTCGCCGGGTTTGCGTTACAGTCGACGGGATATACATGCGAGGCGTTTAATCCCCTTTATTCAGAAACCCGCACATCTTATGTAGATGTGATGCATGGGGAAATTGCCCCATGGACTGGTGCGGGGATCACTATGAGGAGTAGGATGACAGAGACGATGTAGTTGAGAAACTTCGCTGGTATTAGGCTCTCCGTGCGTTCTAAAGACTGTGAGAAGAGTTGTTAAGGGTTACAGAAAGAGTCGAAATGAGACATCAACGGGAGTCAAGGTTGTCCGACAGAGAGCGGCAATGTGCATTCTAGCGGAATGAGGAAGGAAGAGGCCGTTCGATCAAGAAACGTCGATGCTATAGGAGTTACGGTGACGCAAGGTCTGGCATTGTGATCTATGAAGGCGGCGGAATGGTCGGAACGACTACAGAAGACGTATAAATGCAGGGTGCGTCGGTGTATATGCGGCTGAGAGAGACTGGAACTACGGCAACGTATGATTCAAATGGATTAGTGCATAATTCATGCGTGAATTGGTGAATCTCTTACCGCATGCAGTCTTGTATGTGAGCCACAGGTGGTAGGCTTGATCAGTTGATGCGACAGTCACGTAAATGACGAGTTGGTCGAGCCAAAGGGTGATGAAAGCATGCCCAACTTGTTTCTCGATCTGGTTCTGGAAAGACTTCACTGGAAGTCAGGTCCGGGAGTACCCGTTGAGGATGGTAAGTCGTCTTGGTCCATGAAAAATGACGTAATACACTCGAGGTTACAGTTTGCCGGTTATCGTCAGACAGTGCTTGCTCATTTCTCCGCGACGAAACGAACGCGGCCGAAGGCTCAGGCGACGCGGAAACCACGCGGCCTGAGGCAAAGGAGACGCGATCCGAAAGACGGGCCGCCTTGGTGGCAATCGCTCGACGAGGTGCCTTCCCGCCAGTGGAAGCCCTCAACGTCTGCCTGGTCCGAGCCATGTCGCACAGCTTCCATCGTCTTCGTCAAGAGTAACGATTATGAACGGGTTTGGTGTGCAGTCGCCACCATTGATTCCGCATCGAGACACTAATTTTTCCAGGTTTTGCTGAGCATCAATCAAGTGACTCGTAGTTTTGACGAACCCGTTCTCAATGTTGCCTTTTTCAAGGTCCGAAGTCGAGGAAAAATCTTCAGTGGCGTCTGCCACTATGTCTCTGGTCTTCTCCACGAATGTCTTCGCTGAGTTAATCGCTGCGGCAATTTCACAAACCGTTTCTGTGTCTAGTTCACTTTTCGGTTCTAGCGCCGGGAGCTCATGGCATGAGTCGATACTCAGTGTCAAGGTTGTTTGCTGTCCAAATTTCATCCTGCGTCTGGTCTGGCAGGTGCTGGCGAAGCAAGTAGTAATGTAATGTTGAGTCGTCTTGAGCAATTGAAACCCCTTCTCAGTCGCACTTCCGCAAAATCTGAGAGATTGTTCGATGCAGATGAGTAGAAGAGTCCCACGGAGATTTCTCAATATCCGCCTTCGCCCAATGAACACTATATCTGGGAACGAATACCGTGCTTAATCTGTCTTCACACGTCATGGATGACTTGATTCTGACGAATTCATTCCTGTGGCATGCGCATGAATTTGTCGAGGCATTGATATAAAATCACTGCCCAAATGATGGCATCAGCCGCAATTGCACCGGTTCAGGGAGTCACAAAAAGCTCCACGAGTACTCTGTATTTGGTACGTGGCGGGACGGTGAGATATGAGACGTGCTAGGAGAACTTGAATGGTCAAAGCCCTTGTGCTTACGTTGAAATTTGGAACGGAGAGGGCTGCATGGATTTTTGGCCCACGCACAACTTTATTTCGAAGGGGTTTTTTAATGTTCACAATTTTGAGAAAATATATTTTTGTCCTTGCATTTCGAATCATTGGACGGGTCACAAAATATGTCTTTGAACGGCAGATACGTACCGGGGCTCCTCTGCGACTCTTTCCATTCCTGAGATCAAAACTTAGATGCAAGGGCCATTTTTCAGACACATTAATTCTTTCGCTTATCCGACAGCCAAATGAAGTACTTACATACAGATGGACGTTTGCTGCCGATCTCTTCCCTTTCCACTTCATCTCCCTCGAAATTATAATGGATCGAAAGGGACACCACAAGTTACGTTTCCTCCGCATATACTACCAATGCCTTTCTACGGTCGAATGCTCTTTTGCCAGAAGCGCAGCTCCAATGAACAAAAAACATGACAATCAAAAATTCAGAGAACGAGCAAATATTCGGGACATATCTTGGAATCGTTTCCGATCGTAACCATGATTTCACCAGTGCACTAGTAGTTCATCATTCACACTCAAAACTATTGGATTTTGGTATACTTCCAAAATATGCTATTTCCCAAGCACCACGCACTCCTGGATCCCACTCTCACAGTACTGCATTGTATCACTTGCACCCTGAATGACGAAGAGATCACAGTGGCTCGGTGCATCTTTTATTCCAGAGACCCACCCGTGAAAAGATACGCACAAACGGCGAAGAAGATTACCCCTTCAACATACCTGAAGATCCCTGCAGAGAGCCAGCCAGATCTCCACATGAATGCTTCACACATTAAGTATGCAGTAATACTCAAATGAAAAATGAAAAGTATCAAGGAGAGGCATTTCAATTAATTGACGGCGCACTTTCGAGGTAACACGTGGTTCGTTTGGACTTGCACGATAACAGAATGCAACGCGTTGCGCTTAACGCGCGCGTTTCAATCGCCGTTTGCAAAGCTTGAGAACAGGTTCCAAGAACAATCCTGTCATCCTGTGCAACCTTACGAACTCAGTCCTGTGTACAAATAGATACTCTCAGTAACGTGTCATAATCAGTTCAAGAATCTTTGCAGACAGGATTGTGTGGAAGCGACCCGCCTCCTCTGAAAGGGCTTCTGGTGTATTTGGAACCCTGAATCATTCTGATTTTCCCTCGCGCAGACCATACGAGACGGGTTGTTCAACCCAATAAATCCGTGCATCAAAATCTTTGATCGCAATGCGTCTCTTAGGGTTCTGACGGAAGTACTATTGTGCAATGCCCGTCATGATTTCCATGATGATGCTTGGGAGAACTGCGAAACGAAACCCGGCATTCATATCGAAATCTTCATCCAGTATGGCAGAACAGGTAGATATGTGACGCGTGGGCGTGACAGTTAGGTGCAGTGGACTTCGCACACCCCTACGGCCTCATGCGAGTATGCTGAAGATATTTTGTAGTTTAAAGTCACCAACAATGTTCTTGAGAGCACAGAAGGTCTTCATGCCGTCAAAATAGAAAAACAGGGCTGTTTGGAATTATTTCTCTCTAACTCGTCGCCGGCTGCAAGGTGCCCCTCTCATACCTCAGCTGATGTTTTGAACGATGCACGACTCTTCGAATGCTCATCGTCCACCGTTCTGAAAATGTGTAGGACTTTTACCGGCAGTGGCATTTGATATAGCATGATTCAATGCTCTTTCTCGTGCACTTGACCTTCTTTGATTTTGATTGCTTGGTGCAAATCTCTTCAAGCGTCGAACAAGGCTTTCTGCCACACAACTCACTACATCGCGAAGTTTCGCAATTGAACGTAACCGATTTTTCAAAATCTGGTTTGAGTGTTGCGTTACAGATCTTTGACTCAATCTTGAGATAACAATCCGATATTGCATTGCCTAAGGTGTCTAGAACTGGAAGTTTATGGCATTCCTTTGCGGACTTCGACATGAGTACCTCGAAGCTGAGATATGATCGGCCCAGGAGGTGATCCCTCTGAGGCGTATCCGATTTCCACGAGCTCCGGGAAGACGTGTCGCTGGTTTTGTCCTCGTGGTATATCCAAAAGTTCAACCGAGACGGACAGTACGATATTTGTTTGCCGCTTTTAAGCAGTTTCCGACCCCATTTTCCATGTGCGAGCAATCCCAGAGGAATGTCTTGAAAATCTTCTTGCCATAGTACCCTTCTTGTTTTTCTGTACGTTTTCGTGTGTGCAATGACATCTGTGCTTCCATCGTCTTCGTCAAGAGTAACGATTATGAACGGGTTTGGTGTGCAGTCGCCACCATTGATTCCGCATCGAGACACTAATTTTTCCAGGTTTTGCTGAGCATCAATCAAGTGACTCGTAGTTTTGACGAACCCGTTCTCAATGTTGCCTTTTTCAAGGTCCGAAGTCGAGGAAAAATCTTCAGTGGCGTCTGCCACTATGTCTCTGGTCTTCTCCACGAATGTCTTCGCTGAGTTAATCGCTGCGGCAATTTCACAAACCGTTTCTGTGTCTAGTTCACTTTTCGGTTCTAGCGCCGGGAGCTCATGGCATGAGTCGATACTCAGTGTCAAGGTTGTTTGCTGTCCAAATTTCATCCTGCGTCTGGTCTGGCAGGTGCTGGCGAAGCAAGTAGTAATGTAATGTTGAGTCGTCTTGAGCAATTGAAACCCCTTCTCAGTCGCACTTCCGCAAAATCTGAGAGATTGTTCGATGCAGATGAGTAGAAGAGTCCCACGGAGATTTCTCAATATCCGCCTTCGCCCAATGAACACTATATCTGGGAACGAATACCGTGCTTAATCTGTCTTCACACGTCATGGATGACTTGATTCTGACGAATTCATTCCTGTGGCATGCGCATGAATTTGTCGAGGCATTGATATAAAATCACTGCCCAAATGATGGCATCAGCCGCAATTGCACCGGTTCAGGGAGTCACAAAAAGCTCCACGAGTACTCTGTATTTGGTACGTGGCGGGACGGTGAGATATGAGACGTGCTAGGAGAACTTGAATGGTCAAAGCCCTTGTGCTTACGTTGAAATTTGGAACGGAGAGGGCTGCATGGATTTTTGGCCCACGCACAACTTTATTTCGAAGGGTTTTTTTAATGTTCACAATTTTGAGAAAATATATTTTTGTCCTTGCATTTCGAATCATTGGACGGGTCACAAAATATGTCTTTGAACGGCAGATACGTACCGGGGCTCCTCTGCGACTCTTTCCATTCCTGAGATCAAAACTTAGATGCAAGGGCCATTTTTCAGACACATTAATTCTTTCGCTTATCCGACAGCCAAATGAAGTACTTACATACAGATGGACGTTTGCTGCCGATCTCTTCCCTTTCCACTTCATCTCCCTCGAAATTATAATGGATCGAAAGGGACACCACAAGTTACGTTTCCTCCGCATATACTACCAATGCCTTTCTACGGTCGAATGCTCTTTTGCCAGAAGCGCAGCTCCAATGAACAAAAAACATGACAATCAAAAATTCAGAGAACGAGCAAATATTCGGGACATATCTTGGAATCGTTTCCGATCGTAACCATGATTTCACCAGTGCACTAGTAGTTCATCATTCACACTCAAAACTATTGGATTTTGGTATACTTCCAAAATATGCTATTTCCCAAGCACCACGCACTCCTGGATCCCACTCTCACAGTACTGCATTGTATCACTTGCACCCTGAATGACGAAGAGATCACAGTGGCTCGGTGCATCTTTTATTCCAGAGACCCACCCGTGAAAAGATACGCACAAACGGCGAAGAAGATTACCCCTTCAACATACCTGAAGATCCCTGCAGAGAGCCAGCCAGATCTCCACATGAATGCTTCACACATTAAGTATGCAGTAATACTCAAATGAAAAATGAAAAGTATCAAGGAGAGGCATTTCAATTAATTGACGGCGCACTTTCGAGGTAACACGTGGTTCGTTTGGACTTGCACGATAACAGAATGCAACGCGTTGCGCTTAACGCGCGCGTTTCAATCGCCGTTTGCAAAGCTTGAGAACAGGTTCCAAGAACAATCCTGTCATCCTGTGCAACCTTACGAACTCAGTCCTGTGTACAAATAGATACTCTCAGTAACGTGTCATAATCAGTTCAAGAATCTTTGCAGACAGGATTGTGTGGAAGCGACCCGCCTCCTCTGAAAGGGCTTCTGGTGTATTTGGAA